TTATTTGACAGTGCTGCACGTAAGCCAGGGGAAAATAAGCATGAAAGGGAACAAACTGATATTCTTGATGCAGAACTGGATTGGCACTTAGAGGAAAGCATACCCAACTTAACCTCCAAATGTCACATGCACGTCATAACATAAAAATGAATGAGGTACTATTTATAGGGCTTCGAATGAGTAGCTGACAACTGATAGTTAACTATGCACATTTAAATACATATCTTTCTTAGGTAACTCCTGCCTTTCACATAAACACATTTAGCTTCAATAAAAAGGTATACTTGGGGGTTTATTTACTCTTTTTCTCCTGCCTCTGGCACAGCACACAGCAAGTGTAAGCTCAGGTACGGTCAGAGCTGCTGTTCTGCGTTATGCTCGCACAGGCAAGAGCAGTCCGTGACAGTGACCTCCTCAAGGATCCTCTCTGCATGCCACTGGTGCCATCACAGGGGTCCCATCCTCCTTCCAAATACATGGGCTGGAACAGGGTGGAACACCACCCTGCTGACAGCTGCCCAGGCAGAACCTGGAAAGTGCCTGCAGCTCCTCTCCACTGGCACACCAGCCTTGATTGCTTGTTCATTGCCTGGGACCAAGCTGGTCCCTGATAAACTGAGCTAGCGCCCAGGGGCTGCGGAAGGCTACGGGTTGATGCCTGTCTGCATCCCATCAGGCACCAGGGGGGCTCCTGGCATGCTGATGGGAAGAGTGGGACTCCAGGAGGGCAGACTTTAGCACCTCCCCAAGGCTCTGCTGCCTGTGACTAATTTTTCACCTAAATTAGAACATGAGGACTCCTGCTGATACACGCACTTCCAACAGGACAGCCAAGCTTTACTTTTCATTAGCTTTCAACTACAGTACTTTACATTAACTCATGTCTGCTCTGCCTGCTGTTCATTAGGCTCTTTAGTACCCCCTGTTCCATGAGACTTGCCTCCTCCTACCCCCACGCACACCTCAGGGCTCGGTGGGTGGCAGCCACCAGGCTCACAACACTGTCAGCGGGATTAGGTGAGTCTGTAGATCTGCCCAGGAGTGAGTATCAGTAAAGGTGTAATCATCTTCCCCAGGCAACTCGTTCAGCAAGGCTACAGGTTTCAACCCTAGCAGTGGGGCAGAGCTTTTCCACTGCCAGGGTTGTACCTCCAAAAGTGTGATGGGAAAGTGGCAGGGCCTGGAGCCCACTGAGTGCTCACTGGGGCAGGACCTGATCCCTGCTGTTCCGTAGTTTAATCCCAGCCAGTGACTGAGTACCATGCAGCCACCCACTCGCACACTCCGCCACCCCTGCAGTGGGATGGGGGGAAGAACTGGAAAAAAGGTAAAGCCCGAGGGGTGGAGATAAGAACAGTTTCACAACTGAAATAAGATGATAATTATGAAATAATAATTGTATTGGAAAGAGAGGCAACCAGAAGAGAAGGAGAAATAAAACATGACTAAGACAAGTGATCCACAGCACAGTTGCTCCCCATCCACTGACAAATACCCAGCCTGTCCCCAAGCAGCCATCAGCCCCTCAGGGACAACTCCCCCAGCTGACAGATTGAGCAGGATGCTCTTTTGTATGGAATATCCCTTTGGCCAGTTGGGGGCAGCTGTCCTGGTCATTCTCCCTCCTGCCTTCTTGTGCACCTCTTTGCTGGCAGAGCATGGGAAAATGGAAAATCCTTGACTTAGGGTAAACACTACAGAGTGACAACTAAAACATCAATGTGTTATCAACATTATTCTTATAATAAATCCAAAAATATGGCACTGTACTAGCTACAAGGAGGAAAATTGACTTTATCCCAGCCAAAACCAGGACACCTATCAATCTCTTTATCATTGTTCCCTACTTGCAAATATGTTGAGAGAGGCCCAAAGCAATAACTTTAACCTAAAAGTTCTCAAAACTGGAAAGTACAGAAGTATATTACAACTCTTGCATCCATCTGCTGTAACTGCCCATGCAGAATTTCCCAGCACTTTCCTATTATCTGCAACAGATGGGACAAAAGCTGCCAGACACTTCCAAGACTTCGCCCAGCTTGTTTTTTTCCTGAGCACTGAATTAGCACTACTGAAAAACAGGCCTGGCACAGTTTGCTCACGGAGCTGACAGAGCTCAACCCAGCAGCCACAGAGCATGCTGTCAACAGAGTGTCAGCAGCGTTTGCTGTGCCCCACAGAGAAAAACTGCAGCATCCACACTCCCCTGACATGGAAACGCAAACAAATTTCATCCACCTCCAGGAGCAAAAGGCTGGAAAAACTAATCTTCAGTTTTGTTTTCCTCCTCTTGCTAACCTCAGGCAAGGCAGTTACCATCCTGCTGCAACTTGTTATGCCAAAACCAACACCTTGCGTCAGCAGGATATGTGCTGCAGCCCACTGGTTTTTTGTGAATTAATATGGCAAAATAACAGAGGCAGATGCCAAAACCGCTCTTCTCCCTTGTCCAAGTGAAGCTTCCCTACTGACACAAGAGGCATCGTGCATGCCATGTTTAGCTGTACTGCAGGGTCCTGCACAACCCCTATTGCTTATACCTGTCAGAAAGGCTGAGAAGCTTTAGGCCCCCACTGCCCTCAATTGTCCTCTCACAGACAGAATAAAGGTTGGATGAATAAAAACCAAGCATGGGATTTACATCAGTATATATGCTATAAATACATATATATTTATGTATATATGCACACACATATCAATTCTCCCTGCCACATCTCAGTCCAGCACTATTAGCATCAAAAATGTTTACAAATTAAAAGAATACTGTAGGTACAAAGTTGAGTACTCTGAACCCAGACTGTACAAATAGCCACTGTATCTGTATATTTAGCTTTAGTCCTTTTTAGTTTTTTTAGTAAAATGCATATGCCTTTTATCAGATATTCTCTACCCATAAATCCCCTACCTCCTTCAGTGCCAGTACTTCAAGTGCTAGTCAGGGGCTGTGCTCTAGTATCCTGTCTAGAAGAACCCTGCTTTATTTTCTGCAAAAAGTCATAATATGCTTCTGAAGTAGTGAACACTGTATTGAAATAAAAATTATGGTCTCTTATACCAAAAAAAATTTCCATAGTTTCAGATTGCATCCATGACATTTGCACAGCTCCTGCAAAATGCCTATTACCTTATATAACCCCAGGCTTTAAAAATAGTTAATTCATATTCATCTACTTCCAATTAATTACACTGAAACATTTTTGGCCTGCTGTGCTAAGACGGTAGGTACATGCAACAACAACCAAAAGCAGAGAGCTATACTTAAATCAATCAAGTAGCATAAGAAAAATGTTATGTACAAATAAGAAGGGTTTGGGATTTTTTCCTCTTAATCTCACAGTTCATTTTGACCTTAAACAAATCTGTTTTTCATTTAAGCCAGCCTGTGAGCAAAGTTGGGTCAAAATCAGAAAAGAGTTGTCAGCAAGTATTATAAAAAAAATCAAACATTTGGGTTTACTCTTTCCCAAAACAAAACTGTTTAAGAACATAAGTATCTAATTTTTGCTTAAAAACAGGTTTTAAGTGGAAATGAAAAAAAAATATTTTAGATTGCATATTTTTACACCACTCACGCCCCTCCTCCCAAAAAAATAAAAAATTGGAAGTAACAGACTCATCTGAAGAGAGACAGGCCTTTCCTCATCTCTTGAGAAGTGGCTCAGATGAGATGCCTGATGGCAGGTGCAGAACATCCTGCCCTGGATGATGATGAATTAACTTTCTCTGCTCCTCTGCTCCTCCCAAAACATCGCCTCTTATCACTGGACAGAAAAGCACTGTATGGACATCTACAAAAGCAGCACTACCTGAGAGCCAAACATAAAAATAACTACATTTGTTCATGGAGCCACACACTGCGAAAAGGAAACAGACTGACTATGCTGCTTGACAAGGAGAAAAGTTTTTATGATTCTATGTACTTAAACTAAAGGTCATAGAGGTGACCTTGACTTTGGTATGTATCCACTTTTGAAAGTACCATTAGTATTATTTAAAAGCACAAACTCACATTAATAGGATGCTTCCAGTATCACTCTCTTAATGTTTTGCAATAAATACACTGACACAACAGATTTTCACTTATGAAAAGGGCTCTTTGAGCAGCATTTACACCTCTCTACTAGAGCTAGTGCAATAGCCCATTGTTATTCCCTTTATGGTCTTCCTTCCAAAAGGTGAGACAGCTTCCAGCAGGTTTGCAGCCTATTGCTGAGAAAGAAAATGCAGCCCCGAAGGAGAGCGAGCTCTGGGGTAATGCTCTTCAACCAGTTACTCTCCAAATTGCTTAACAGGTCTAAGTGTGGAGGTTAAAGTTGCAGTTCAGTACAGCCATCAGACCTGTCCCATGCAGCCACATCAGGAGTGGCTCCTTTCAGGAACTGGCACTGGTCACAGGATCTGTGCCTGTGGTTTGACCCCACAGCCACCTGCACACCTGGCCTAAGCCTGGCAGACCTGTAAACACCTCCAGACAGGATCCTCCAAGCCAGAAGAATCTAGCAAAAATCTCACTGCAAGTTACTTGGTAATTAGGAAACATTCTCTGTGTGTAGGGTATGTCCTCAGTTCCCATGCGTGTTCTGAACAGCAAAACCAAACTCTAATTAATCAAGGCTTACGTCTCAGCCATGAAGTAGGAGGTGTCCCTGCCCTTGGTGGGAGGTTGGAACTAGATGATCTTTCAGGTCACTTCAAACCCAAACCATTTTTTGATTCTATGATCTATCACTTTATTTAGCCAGCTTCTTCTGGTACTTTCCCCTCCTACCGACCAACACTTTCCTCTGCATTTCTGCACCTAGAATTCTTCTGACTGGTTCCTCTGTGAACAGAATATGTTAGATAGCTATTTCCAGCTGCAAGGGACGATAGCTGGAATTCTGCCATAGAGAATTGTCAAAGATGAGACCCTCCTGTGATGCCTGAAATGTGGACTCTGTTGCTCAAGCCACCACTACAAGTAACTTCAAGTCCTCATGTCAGGGCTCACTCCCTGTTACCTGCTCAGCTCACAAGGGTTGCCTTTGCAGCCAGTTCCTCAGACTCTTCTCTTAATTAGAATTCAGTAATTTCCTGTAGCACTTCATCTGTACCTGAAAAGGTAACAATTTGAAATACACTGGTGAAAATAATATACCTAATAAAAGGTGAATTCAGTGTCAAGGAATAAATAATCTGTTTGTGAAGCAAAGGCAGAGAGCATTTACTCATTATGGAGCCAGAGGAGGGGATGAAATGTCTTATGGTAGTTCTGGAAGGCATGTGAGTTGTGCCTTATTTTCTTTCCTAACTGCTATGAGAGCATACAAAATAAAACCATGGAGTATACAGACCAGCAGTCAGCTCTCTCAGTACAGTGTTGTCCTTCTTTAAAAGAGGGGGGCTTAAGATTTTATGTTTGCGTTTGACAAGGATTTCTTTAGTGCTTTTATTTTAAAAAAGTATTTTAATTGAGCTGTCTTTCCATCATCTTTACTACTGTGGTTTACCCTCATAAACCACATGGATCATAGAAGGGTATTTTGCTCTTGGTACCATTTGGGGGAAAAAAAAGTTTTTTGTGTGCCTCAGACTGAACTACAGAACTGAAGGTATTAGCTGAAATTTAAGGGTAATGATCCCAAAGCAGTCTTTTGAGAAACCCTTTTTTACCTCTGGAGTTCTATTTGGTCACCTAAGCTATAAAGTCAAGCTCAAGTATGCTGCAGCTTTTGGTTCATAGGATTTAGCATGAGGTCACTGCTGCCTAACATGGTGGCAAGTAATGCAATCCCCTTCAAGAGTCTCTGAAGTAAGCAAGAGAAATGAATGCTCAAGGCACTTCATAAACTGGTTTCATGCCTTACCTAGGGCAGTGGCAAAATCGCACACCAACTGATGAAATAACGCGTCAACAGGCTTCAGACTTGATGCCCTAAACAAAAGGCCACTCTGCTTTACTCTGTTGTACAGATCCCTCAGCCAATAGCTCCCTCCAGTTCTGTGTTCCTTCCCAGGCTCAGCATGCACCAGCAGGTCAGCATCACATCTCAGGAAAGCAAGGGATCAAACACATCGCCTGTCCTGCCATAGCTGAGAGTTATCACTTCATAAATATCTCAAGGAGACTGAGCTACACTCTTGATCCATGAGCAAAGGAACTGACACTGGCATTACTGCAATGGCATAACCTCACCCGATAGCTATGCCTGCAAGATTCCCACCACCTAGACAAACTCCAGCAGTGCCAGCACTCTTCCCAGGTCACAGGAGAGATGTATATTCAGCAGAAGCAAGAAATCCTGCCCAAGCTGGTTGGCCATCACTGCCCTGAAGGGACACAAGGCAGGCACAGAGTGCCCTTTCTCACGGTCATACCTTGCAGAGGAAAGGTGGCCCAGAGGGAATACAAGAGAGGGAAATAAGGCTCCTGCCCTCTGCCTCAAGAGGAGGGGCCAAAAGCAGCCTATGGGTCACATACCACAGGGGCTAGAGAGGAGGAAGAGGAGAGCAAAAGTGAGCATGAGAGATGAACTAAGTAATTCCAAAAGCAGCAGTCCTGCAGCAAGGCAGAACATGCTGCTTTCATGAGGTGCTCCCCCAAAGCTGTCTCTCACCTGGCCACCTTTGGCCAATATCTGATCACAATTGTGAATATATATTGAACTAAATACGCTGGGTTTGGGGTAACAACCTCGGGCCCCTTCGTTCCTCTGGACTTGATGTATTGGATGTACAGGGAAGTCTTTGATCCTGATCTTTATATCTTCTGCAGGCTGGATGTGGGGTAAGCAGTTGGGTCCAAAATGTTGAAAACATTCGAGAAGTTGGGAGGACAGAGGGAGTAAACAAGAAAAAATAAAACCAGCAGCCAGCAGCACAAAAAAATGTAATTTCTTTTTCTTTCCTGGGAAGTTCTGCTTCTGTGCTTAAGACCCAGACAGACAGGAAAAGCCTTTGCCAGGACACCAGTTTTCCTCATTTGTGGGAACAGAGAAAGGATACTGCTGTGCAACCTTTACCTGCAGTCCTGCTGTCAGCTGAAGGACCCTACAGCTTACTCAGGGCCTTTGTTATAAATCTATTTTGGTTGGGAGTTGTGGCAGCTGTTACTGCTGTGACGGAAGCATATTTTAGGGCAGCAGTCATTTTGTGCAGTAACTTTGGACAAAGTATTAATGTTGTCTAGAGGACGTTGGGGCAGGAAGGAAGTCATACCTCCTGAATTCTCCACATGCTACCAAGAGGATAGTGAAAGCATCTGAAGTGCAGGAGCCACCGTCAATAACTCAGAGACCCCCTGGCCGCAGCAAGCCAAGAGAAACAGAGGCATTTGTTACAACCACTTTCCTGGATTTCGAAGTACAAATAGTGAAATTTACCAAGCTCTTCAAAAAATAAAAAAAAAGCAAGAGTATTCTGTTTCCAAGGTTTCCTCCAGACTTATTCTCCTGGCAAACAGAAAAGATCCCCAAGCCAAGTAACTCTGCTCAGCCTCATCCTGCGCATTGCATGCTCAAAGGATTAAGTTATGGCTTACTGCAGCTGTACCCGGAGCTCACCTAAAACTTCACACCCTCCATGGGCAGCACAAACTCTGCATATTCCTTTAACTCACAGTTTTCTCACTAGCTTGCTCAGGTATTTCCTGACACCTCCCACGGATCATTTGGTGGTTTTTTCCATGTAGTAGTTCATCTTTGAAACCTGAGGTGTCTCAGAAATTCACACTGAGTAATTGGTCATTGGTGGACAGTCACTCACTGAGGTGAGTGAGGAATTTGCTCAGGAGGCAAATTCCATGCAGAATCACAGTTTCAATGTCCCTTATCAGAATTAGGGCAGGGCCTCAGCACTTTATGTTATGTTTATGTTACCCAAGACAACAAGCAGGTTTAAAAAACAAACCAAAATGACCTTTGAAAGTTGTGACAGCACGACTGGTCATTTTAAAGCTAGATTAATGATCTTCAGTGTAGAGATTGACCCTTTATTTTATGTTTGCATAATCCACATGGTGGATCTGGCTCTAGACAATGCCCCAACAAGAGGAGCAAGAAAAATATTTTTTAGAAGTCTGAGTTATTCAAACTCATAAAGCATTATAATTTCAAACCAAAATTGTGATTCGTTTGTGCTTTGGTTTACCAGCTGCATTTCTCTCAAAGCTTATTAGCAAAGCCCAGAAAGTAGCTGATTTTACCCTGGATGAGGTCTGTTTTTCCTTTTGGTCCCCTAGCACAAAGCTGCAACATAGGCTGCAGAGATGCTGATGAAGGAACTGCTGAAATAAGTATCCCAGAGCTATTGAACAGCTCTGGGTATCAGCCTCCCCCATAAATGTATAGGGAGCAGTAAAGTAAGGCTGTGCAGCATTCATCACTTTATGATACCTGCCAAAATTCCTTAGACCTTAACAGGGATAAAAAAAAAAGCCATGCCACTGATTAAAAACACTGCTGACAGTGGTAAAATTATTTAATGACATTTTGGAGATAATCAGAGACTTTTCCTGAGGAAAGTCTTGTGCACCATCAGGAGAGGCATGAGGGGAAACCCTGTGCAGAACAAAAGTGTTTGAATTGGCAGGATGGTAAGTAAATGGAAGGACATTTTCCTCCTTTGCTCATCTCTGTTTCACTGACCTTTTCTTTCAGAGGGTGGAAAAAAAACACTTGGGTCTGTGAAGAAATATTTGGAAAAAGGAAATTCTGCAAGTGAATAGAAGTCCTACAACTGGGAAAGGCAAAAAACCAGCCAGTGTAAGTGTAATACTGGATTTCCTATGGAGATAACCATCATCGAAGCACAAAGCTCCTGTGTTCCTTCAATTAACATACTGTAGGTGGAAGCCAAAAACACTGGATAATGGTAAGTTTCACTTTCTACAAAGTCAAAAGCTGTTTTAATAGAAGCTTAAGTGCCTTTCTTTTCAGTTCAGCAAGAAAGAGAGTATTTTCTCAGAGGCTGACTGAACACCCACGTTGTTCAGAAGCCAGGCAGAGGGCTCCCTATTAAGCTTGCAATTAGTTGTGGAGTCAAAGCTAGCAAGAGCTGGAATCCTGGGTAGGGGTAATGCTGCAAGTCTTGGTAGTAAATGCATTTTCACTAAACATTTCCAAGAAGATTTTCTCTGGCAGAGAAGGGAATAGCTCGTCTCTATTAAATGCTGTCTCAGGCGATTGGTACAGCCTATTGGGGTGCAGTAAATAAACAAAAAGTCATGAACAATTTGTCCATCTTCCCATTAGAAGTGAACTTTTGAAGATCACACCAGTCATTTTTCATATTTAAGGGAAAGTTCTAAAAGTCAATTTTTCCTGTTGACAATCTCCTATAGACAGTCTAAGACACTTCAGGAGGCCTTGTACCCCACCACTCCAAAACCTTCACAGGTTCCCAAACTCATGCTCCCCATTTGCTGGTCCACAGCACCACAGCAGACAAACTTCCCTGCAGAGGACAACACCACAGGGCACACGCAGTGAAAGAAAAGGAGATTAAGAATGCTGCTAACCTACATGTTTAATGAAGTATTTCTTCTTTCTGTCAGCCTAACACACAAACATATAGGCATGTCTGTGCATTACCACACACCTACTCTTCAGCATTTGAAGTCTAGATGACCCTTGAGGCAAGAATCAAGTCATGCAGAACAAAGGACAAACTCCATGCCATAATAAACACTTTATCAGTAATGAGACCAAATTAGAGCTGAACTACAATCTTAACTTTGCTCTTTAGCTTTCACACCCAAAGAACAGTCATAGAAGCTACATCCTTACATGGGTGTTAGAAAAGATAAGGAAGCCCATTTATGATGTAATTAAATAAATCATGCTGGTCTCCCAGTAATGAACCCATTTCCAATCCTCCTGGAGTCATCTTATCTTGCATGTGCTGCTTGAACACTCATTTAAGGTGCTTCCAGAGTGCCTGTCAGTAGGACATGGTTGCCAGTAGAAACTTCCCAGCCCAAACCTGAAGCCAGGCTTGCATACCTGTTCCAGTTCTCCAGCACTGCATTCATTCTTGAGAAACTATTTTAAAAGAAAACCACAGTGCAACTTTGAAAGGGGTCTGGGCGAAAGAAATCAAATAAGAACTTGGAATT